GGAAGTCCACATCCTGATCATACCTTCCTGGAAGCAATCAGAAAGCATAAAATATACCAAAACACATACTCAATTAAGTATTAAGGCCACAGATAAAGATTTAACATATCCAAGAAGCAAAAGCAGATGACCATATCAGCACATGTCCAGAAACAAGATAAAATGTCTGAGACAAGTGATCTAGAAGTAGACCTGGACTCCATTCTGGAAGGAGGGCAGGCCTTGGAAATGCCTGAGATGGAATTCAGAAAAATGCCTGAGATGGAATTCAGAATAATGATCATAAAATGTTTCAAAACACTTTACAATGGAGTTGAGAAACATAAGGAAGAAGCCAAGAAAGTGCAACAGGAACAATCAAATAAGATAGATACAGCATTGGAAACCATTTAAAACCTATAGAAAGAGGTCCAAACAATCAATAACAAAATAACAGAAATAGAAAACACTCTGAAAGGGCAGAGGAGTAGAAGAGATGAGATGGAAGGTAGAATCAGTGAGCTGGAGGACAAATATCTGAATACCACTAAGATAGAAGAACAAACACAAAACATGATAAAAAAATTCTGAAGATGGTCTAAGATTCATGTTAGACAACATGAAGAGGAATAACTTAAGAATTATTGGCATTCCATAACAAGAAGAATCCCACAAGTCCACAGAGGAAATAGTTGAAGAACTGCTGGAAGAAAATTTCTCTAACATCCTGAAGAGTGAAAAGATAAACATCCAAGAAGCTCAACGAACCCCAGGAAGGATAGACCCCAAAAGAAAATCACCAAGACATATCATAGTCAAGCTCTCCAAAATCAAAGATAAGGAGACACTTCTGAAAGCCGCCAGGGAAAACAGAAGTGTCACATACAAAGGCAAGCAAGTCAGATTAAGCTCAGATCTCTCAGCAGAAAACAAGCAAGCATGAAGGCAATGGGGAAACATTTATAAAACACTGAAAGACAAAAATTGCCGACCAAGAATCCGTTATCCAGCAAAGTTATCAATCAAATATGATGGTGTAATCAAAACATTCCAAGATAAACAGAAGCTAAGGGATTTTGCCAAAGCCAACCCCGCACTACAAAACATCCTAAAGGGAGTTCTGTGGACTGAGAA